TCGGAATTTTTCCTTTTCCAGTCATGTGGGAACGGCTCAAATCAGGCTGGGAGGCACATGACCATGCGGAGCCCTGCCTGTCCTTCCTTGGGTGGACATTCCCCATACAAATGCTGAAACACATTTAAAGTAAAATTACGGAATAAGTTCTTTTCCTTTGTTTATTCACTTTAAGTAAACCATTTAAAAAAAATCAGACTTTGAGGGCAGTCCCAAACACTCCCATCCCAATGCCACGGATCACTTGTCTTTCCTTGGATGAAAATTCCCTGGTACAAATGTTGAAAAATGTTTACAGTAAAATTACGCAATATGCTATTTTCCTCTGTTTATTTTCTGTAAGTAAAAAGGTTAGGTTATGTTGAATTAGGTTAGGTTAAATTCAGTTATGTTAGGTTAGGGTAAATTCAGTTATGCTAGGTTAGGTTAAATTCAGTCAGGTCAGGTTAGGTGATATTAGATTAGGTAAGGTAAGGTTACATTAGGTTAGGTTAGACCAGTTTTAAACCTAGGTATATTTTACTGCTTTAAGAAAAATTATCAGACTTTGGGGGCAGCTAGGTCATGTTATATTAGTTGAAAGATATTTTCAACTATCATAACCTGACCGAACCTAACTTAATGGTGCCCTGTACAACCATCACACCAAAATTGAGTTATGGAAACCTGGGACATCTTTGTTGTTTTCCGCAATTACTGTACTGTAATGTATATACAGTACAATATTTTTGTTGGGGATACAGTAGCGTAATTCTTCAATGACCTCGATTGACCGGTAAATGTTACTTTTTGCCTCCCACATTGGAATCATTACCGTGATACCGTACAGTAATCGTATCCGTTATTGAGGAGTCCAGTGCCTCTCATTGCTTTAGAAACCTTTGAGGCTTTCGAAGCAATGACTTGGGTTTCGAAAAGGCATCTGATTAACCGCATTCCATTTTGTAATTCATTGATAGGAAGCAGCAATCAAAGTCGGATTAAATAATTTCGTGGTAACCTTCTTTCTTTCATATTTGCATTGGCCAATCCCGGGGATAATCCGACTTCTGAAGATGAAGTTGCTGTGATAGAAAGAAAGATACAATACCGCATATTCGGATGCTGGTGCGGTCACAAAACCATTTCATGGAACTGGCGCAGTGTTCCCGGAAAGCGTTCTCGCCAACTGCCTTGTTTCCTCTCTTTTTTTTTTCTTCTCTCACTACTTCCAGCGACCGAACTGCCGTTGGCGACCGATATCCTCGACAGGAAATCTCTTCACGATTACTCATGCTATGCATTGGACCCGACGTTCGAAGGCGATGATTCTTTTCCACCCGTCCTGGCGCCATTTTCGTCTGGGACATGCCCTTGATCATTTTGGAAGAAGGGTTTCGAACCCCTCTGTCTCAGTGCCGTACGTGGCATAGGAGTGCGCAGGTTCCCCGGCGGGAATGGGTGAAACTTCCACGCTCGCGTCATCCCAGTGTATTGATGGTTTTCGTTATGATTCTTGTTGACTTCTTTCTCAGTAGTCAAATTTCACACAACGGGCAAAAAATCAGAATGGTTTTTCGAAGATACGAAAACACCCTTCGTTCCAATGTTTTGCGGATAACTCACTCGAGGAATTGTATCCAGTCCACACTTCTGATCTGTGATCAGTTCATCGTTTCCGTTCTAAATTACGATCATTGGCGCATTGGTTTCCAGTGCATTGAAGAGTGACGGAAATATGCGTGCTGGATTTAGATTGTAATTGAACACACGCGATAAAGAAACGGAATCCTCCAGCTTCCCCATGTACTGCACAATGTAAGGCGGGAATTCTGGGAGTATTATACGAGTGAGGTATAAGATATGCATTTGCATGGATTTTATATCCAAAAATATTATCCTTATGGATTCTGAAGAAACCTAGCAAAGCCAAGAATAAATTCGGAGCTTCTGCGTTTGAACGGGACCCCAGCCCGGATGTCTGGCACCTCCCGAACTCGCGAAGTTACCTTCCTCATGCAGTGGGAATAATGCAGAACGTTTACCGAAGACAACAGTTTTTCGTTTCTTTCATCACTTCCGAAGTTTCCACGCATGGTGATGTTTGTGGGGTATTTCCCTTGAGCAACAGCGAGTCCCACCATGCAGTCATTCACGCAAGTGATATAAGTATGGTATACGAGGCTGATCTCACTATTTTCAGGAAACTTACCCTTGCGATTAAGCCGGTTCCTCTGTGTCCGTGGCTAAAGTGAAATCTTCGACGCAGATCCCAACAACGTTCTTTGCTCCTCAAGTGCAACTTCTTCATAAGACCAAGTGAGAGCTTGCACAGGTCGTCCTTGCTCTCCATGTTCCACCATTTGGGAGGCTCTTCGATGGACATATCTTTTCGTTCTTCCGGGTGATGCAGCGTCTGTGTGGACCTCAAGAATTCGGAGAAAAGACAGTAATCCACACTGATGCGGTTATTCCGAGATCTTCAACCGTACGAATAGAGGTGAGTAAATCATGCAAAATTAGTCTGCATTACAAAATATTCATCAGATCCGGTCGTATCCTGCAGATAAGGTTTGAAAGAACGAATTCGGAAAGACTTGAGATATTCTGAATATGCGATGCGTTGAAACGGTCTGGAAGAGATGCAGTCATTTAAAAAATTTTCACTCATTGAATCTTTTTTGACGCCGCCATTCCAGTGTTAGGAAGAAGTTCAATCCCCAAGCTCTGTCGCAAAATCTTGGATCCCTTTCTCGTCGATCGTCCTCATGTTTCTTTTAAGCTCACTCACGCGCTGTAGAATGAATGCAAAAAAAGAGAAGAACGTTTCATCCCGTGAAATCCCGCGAAATATGGTAGACTTAACTTCTTCTGAGAATGTTTTGCACGCTTTGAGTGTTTGAGCTTTTGTGTTCATTATCTTGAGAAGGTCGCAGCCTCCGAACGAATGCAAAACGTCCATGGCATTCTGAAAAACCATGACAAGTGTTAGTGAAATATTTTATTTTGCTCGAAGTCCAGAACACTTGCGGTCACTATGTCGTAGAACATTTCTGTGGTATCGTCGAGGATTCGTAGCCACTTCCGGAGAGACTTTCGCATGCGTGTTGCGTAAATCTCCGAATATTCTAAAAGTTCACGCGTACGTTGAGCCTTCATCTAAAATGGATCAAACCCTCCGGAAAGGCAGAATTCGCTGAGAAATTTCAGCACTCACTTGGAGAAGATTCCTCTTCAGCTGAGAATTCTTTCGGATTTTTGCGCGTTCACGTTCAAGAAGTCTCTCTCCGGAATTCCATCGCGTGTAATAGACAATTTTCTAGAAGGGTTACTGGTGACTAATGAATAGCCGTGGTGACGTCAGAGACTAACCTGTTGGCTGCGCTGTAGCTGCCTCTCACAGAATCTGAGCAACCGGTCGGATCTCAGGATGTTTTCGTTAGTTAATATCAACTTGGTTCGCATTTTGCTATCAATCAATAATGTGTACTTCAATATCAAGAAGACTTCACTCCCGTGACAAAACATGTGACTAATTAAATCCATCGGAGAATTCGCGATACTCATGTAATCGAGGTCAAGTGGCACCTCATTATGTGCATGCCGCATATTTCGTGGAACGGGATTCCTCGATTTAAAAGGATTTTCGGCGAGCTTTTCACTTGAAAACTCGAACGAATTGATGATTCAATGAAGCCTGCAAATGTTCGTCACTATCAAACATTTTATTTCTATGTACAAACAAAACTGAAATTCTCGGGCGTCATCAAAACTTGAATAACCATAATTTGTAGATGAGGCAGAAACGTTATGGCTGAGTTCTGTACTGTAGTCCTACAACTCAGCGTCTGCTGTGTCATCAAGCGTGACCCTTTTTAGGACATGATTCACAACAATTATATCTACGGAAGAAATCTTAGTTTTCCAAACAAATTCCTATCGGTTGTCAGCGATCCTATGACCACAGTACATCCAAACCCTCAGCGATGGTCATCCGCATCCTATTTCTAGTTTTTAAAGACACATGAGTAGGTCGTCATTTATGTTGATCATTGATATTTGTTGATAATCGAAGTGGGTGGATGAGGCTTGTAAAACCCCTCCTGTTGGAAATTGCAGTACAAAATCCTTCTTGAGCAAATCGGTAATAAATAAAATTAAAATGTTTCAGATAAACTTCCGATATTATGGTTAAATTTTTTAATGAAATGGTTTTTCTTTCGTGAATTTTGCTGGTTGGACGAAACAGATCGATTCAAGGGTCCAGTTTCCAGCAAAACCCATGCCTGCATCCTGCCTGAACCCGCCCCATGCTCCCGTCCTCATGTCTTTCATCCTTCCCTATTTTGGTAACGTCGAGGAAATAAATTTCCAAATAATTCTTTTGCAGAATTGCACTAAAAAAATTGTTAAAATTAACAAACTCATCTAAGTTACAACCTAAATCAACTCAACCTAAAATATCTGCACCTTAATCAGCATAACTTATTTGACGTAACCAAAGGTACACACACTAAGTGGAAAAAAGTTTCCTGTAGGGCATTAAACTTATTGGTTCTCTGTTTCAAGATGTGTAAAATTGGAGATTTGCTTCCTCCAGGAACAAAGAATGAAAAGCCATCTGGCGTGGGGAGGAGTGGGGGTGGAACCCGTGTTTGGGGGATACAGTACTGTATAAGGGTATATTTGAGATATTTCCCCTTCCTTGGGTATTTACCCCCCTGGATTGAGTGCCACCATCTCTGAACGGCCAAAATCCCGCGGTGCAAACGCTAGTTATATTAAAAATCGTCAACATTTTATGATGTAAGGAGGCTTGACTGCGCATTTAGTGACCCCTGATTCAGCTTCTATACTGTACTGTACTGTACTCATTTTTCTGAGAGACTTCCGGCATGAATATTATCTTCAAAGATTCTAAATAGCTCCGGTAGTATCCGCTAAATTTCTATTGAAAAGAAACCGCTGGGAAACATCGCGATCCGTAGCGCGTGAAGCAGCGTATGCACAAAATGGAGAAATTTGTTCAATGCAAAAACACCTTTATTTGCAACGCCGTCTNAATATTTTATTTTGCTCGAAGTCCAGAACACTTGCGGTCACTATGTCGTAGAACATTTCTGTGGTATCGTCGAGGATTCGTAGCCACTTCCGGAGAGACTTTCGCATGCGTGTTGCGTAAATCTCCGAATATTCTAAAAGTTCACGCGTACGTTGAGCCTTCATCTAAAATGGATCAAACCCTCCGGAAAGGCAGAATTCGCTGAGAAATTTCAGCACTCACTTGGAGAAGATTCCTCTTCAGCTGAGAATTCTTTCGGATTTTTGCGCGTTCACGTTCAAGAAGTCTCTCTCCGGAATTCCATCGCGTGTAATAGACAATTTTCTAGAAGGGTTACTGGTGACTAATGAATAGCCGTGGTGACGTCAGAGACTAACCTGTTGGCTGCGCTGTAGCTGCCTCTCACAGAATCTGAGCAACCGGTCGGATCTCAGGATGTTTTCGTTAGTTAATATCAACTTGGTTCGCATTTTGCTATCAATCAATAATGTGTACTTCAATATCAAGAAGACTTCACTCCCGTGACAAAACATGTGACTAATTAAATCCATCGGAGAATTCGCGATACTCATGTAATCGAGGTCAAGTGGCACCTCATTATGTGCATGCCGCATATTTCGTGGAACGGGATTCCTCGATTTAAAAGGATTTTCGGCGAGCTTTTCACTTGAAAACTCGAACGAATTGATGATTCAATGAAGCCTGCAAATGTTCGTCAGTATCAAACATTTTATTTCCATGTACAAACAAAACTGAAATTCTCGGGCGTCATCAAAACTTGAATAACCATAATTTGTAGATGAGACAGAAACGTTATGGCTGAGTTCTGTACTGTAGTCCTACAACTCAGCGTCTGCTGTGTCATCAAGCGTGACCCTTTTTAGGACATGATTCACAACTATTATATCTACGGAAGAAATCTTAGTTTTCCAAACAAATTCCTATCGGTTGTCAGCGATCCTATGACCACAGTACATCCAAACCCTCAGCGATGGTCATACGCATCCTATTTCTAGTTTTTAAAGACACATGAGTAGGTCGTCATTTATGTTGATCATTGATATTTGTTGATAATCGAAGTGGGTGGATGAGGCTTGTAAAACCCCTTCTGTTGGAAATTGCAGTACAAAATCCTTCTTGAGCAAATCGGTGATAAATAAAATTGAAAATTTTCAAATAAACTTCACATATTATGGTTACATTTTTGAATGAAATGGTTTGTCTTTCGTGAATTTTGCTGGTTGGACGAAACAGATCGATTCAATGGTCCAGTTTCCAGCAAAACCCATGCCTGCATCATGCCTGAACCCGCCCCACGCTCCCGTCCAGCTCAATACTTATGTCTTTCATCCTTCCCTATTTTGGCTACGTCGAGGAAATAAATTTCCAAATAATTCTTTTGCAGAATTTCACTAAAATAATTGTTAAAATTAACAAACTCATCTAAGTTACAACCTAAATCAACTCAACCTAAAATATCTGCACCTTAATCAGCATAACTTATTTGACGTAACCAAAGGTACACTAAGTGGAAAAAAGTTTCCTGTAGGGCATTAAACTTATTGGTTCTCTAAATCAAGATGTGTAAAATGGGAGATTTATTTCCTCCATAAACAAAGAATGAAAAGCCATGTGGCGGGGAGAGGAGTTGGGGTGGAGCCCGTGTTTGTGGATACAGTACTTTCCTTGGGTATATTTGAGATATTTCCCCTTCCTTCGGTATTTACCCCCTTGATTGAGTGCCACCATCTCTGAACGGCCAAAATCCCGCGGTGCAAACGCTAGTTTTATTAAAAATCGGCAACATTTTATGATGTAAGGAGGCTTGACTGCGCATGTAGTGACCCCTGATTCAGATTCTACTGTACTGTACTCATTTTTCTGAGAGACTTCCGGCATGAATATTATCTTCAAAGATTCTAAATAGCTCCGGTAAATAGGCGATTTAAAGATAACTTTTCTTTGGCGACCCTTTGTAGCGCTAGGCATCGCGCACTTCGTCGCATACGTGTTTTACCTCTTTAAACAAGTTACGTTTTTGTGGAAATAAACGTTGCGGCAGATTGGCTCAGTGGTTTCTTCCAACCAATCACGTAGCATTCAAATGAAGAAGTTTTTTGAACTGATGCTCATTCCAGCTTCAACTCATGGCTTCATACCAGAATATTGAAGACAGGGGCAGAATGTAATTATAATTTCCGGCAAATTTTGATTCTTCTCCTTCCGGTGATACAGAAGCCGCTGAGTTAATCGTCGGTATCCTCGTCTGTCGACGTTGTGGGCGAGAACTGCTCTTCGACGTATTGCACTATCCCTTCCTTCAATATTTCCTGGGACACCTCTTCGATGATTTTCAGTTTCTGTTGGAACAGTCGAAAGGATAATTTGAAAGGCCTTAAATCTGTCAAATCCGTCCGTTGCGTACAAATCTTTTGCTTTGTGAAGAAATGTATTAGCATTATTTTAGGCTGTTCGTTTCGTCGATGCTAATTTAGACGAGCAGGAGAATACAGCATCGCAGAAAAGGCAGAACTCTGTCTAGTACAGTATTTATTGAATATGTTTTTGGCTACCCTTACCGCGTTGATCGATTCGTTCCGCTCGCGGATTTTCTCCAACATGCTGTCCCTTTTATTGATCGCAGAAGTGGACATGTCGAGGAAGGTCGTATTCATTTGATCCTGCAACGAAGATGAAGCAATCTGAACTGCAGCATTACTCACGGAAAATGACAGTTTTTGCAAAACTCACTTTCAATACTCCTCTTTCTACGCGTTTGTTCCGGGCCAATTTCGCCTTCAGTCTCAGATACTTCAACTCGATGCACTTGAGATACACTGATTCGTACTTCACGAGCTTTTGATTCAACGTCGTCCATTTCTGAGGTGAGAAAATTGGAATTGAAGCTTACCACAGTGTTTGCGGAAAATCATACAATTATGGATCTCAGTCGAGAGATTACGAACCTTTTGCACTTTGATTCGTCGGGCAAGGAGTTTACGGATTCTGTACCTAGTGTAGGCATGAGTGACTTGACCAGTGTTTCCAATATTCTTCGTTCGAAGATTCTGAAGTTAAAGAAGTCGCGTTAGCAAGTAAAGAATCGTCGGAATCAAAATTTCTAACCTTGTACAGTCGTGCGATGCAAGAGTTGATGTAGTCGTTGTAGCAGGACTTCCCACGCAGTTGCGCGATCAGCGAAGAAATGACGTTGAGCATGTTTTCTTGGCTTCGTGTGAAATTTCAAGGAGAAAAGAAAATCGTCCGCCCGAAGATTGAAACTGTCCGACACATTAGATAATATAGATGTGCGGGGATTTCGAATGCGTATTTCTGACGTGTTTCAAGATCGCGCAGGCCATCAACATTTTCTGGTCGGTTATTGAGTGGGGTCGTCCACGTGGTCGACATGAAACATTTTGACGAGACCAAACGGAAGAAATTGTTAAAACCATTCAACTGTTCCGAATAATCTTTCGATTGAGGAATCATTTCTTATTTGTTTTTTTAAATGTAATTGTTTTTATATTTCGCGCACCAAGGTGTCGGAAGATGGCGTTTACGTTAATCATGCGACAGTCCAACTCTGAGATTTGAAATACTTCGAATTTTGTTGGATTTCATCTTTTTAGATACTGTATTGCATTTCTTTGGATATGCAGTACTTCGATGGGCATTCTATGAATGGTTTCAGAGGAAATTTCAAGTTTTCAAATACATTATCTTGTATTTTTGCGTGTTCGTTTGAAGCAAAAGGATCTCTTCTCCTAGACTTCGCTCTCCGGCTCTGTGGAATGAGCTAATCAAAACGAGAGGAATTAACTTTCAACAGTGTCACTCCCTTATTGATAATGCGTACAGCAGTGCCTTATTCATAATATGTTACTCCACGTGAAATATTGAATAATTGACCCCATCATGTTTCAGTTGATGGACTCAGCTTAAATGCAGTACTAAACGATTAGCCATCAATTAGCAGTTGCTGTTGCGTACCTTCAAATGACTCTTCTAGGCACTACAGTCACGTTCGGTTTTGCGAAGTCTTCAGGAGTGTTACACTGCGTTCATGAGCAATCTTCCTTTAAAGAAAACTCGACGTTTCCACCGATAAGGGTGCACAAATGCTCATTAAAGTACTGTAGTAGGTGAAGGAGTGTGTTTTTGTTGTCCTTTCGTTTGTCGCAGGTTCTGTTAACAGTATTTGTAATGTGTTACTGTATTCGTGAATGATTGATTCCACTGATGCCTCATTTTTGTGCAAAATCCAACCAATGAAGGATTTTAGAAAGTTGTGCCGCAGTCTAGAAACTTGTTCTGCGCGCGAACGTGTTATTCAGATGACGAACTCTTCATAGGTCCTTCACTGAGCCTAACTTTGGGAAAATCATGACGATTCCGACATCGCAAGTGACTCATGAGGAGATCATCTCGCGTCTCTTGATCTTGTACGCCAAATGGATCCGGATTCGCTGTGAGGCAAACGACGTGAGTTTTCTCCCATTTATGATCAATGAGAAATTTTTGTAGCTGATGAAACTTGGATTCTTTTCAAGACCCTAAGTTTGAATTCAGGCGATCTCCTGGAATATCACAAGCGGCTCTACGACTACAGCTGCCAGAGAGTACATGAGTACGAAGTGGTAAATCTCTTAATTTCCAACAATTCCGACACATTCTTCATAGCACCTTTGAATCTTCCAGTTGCTCGGAATCGTTCAGCATAGATCTACTCAAACGCCTGATACTGATTTCGACGAATTCGTGATTTGAGCGGAATTTCCACCGAAGCTGTGACCCTCGGGAATTCTTGTTTTGGACATTCCGCCAATTTGTTGAGCTCTTCTGCCCCTGCTTCGTATTCGATTGATTTCGCATCGTGCGATTTTTTTTTCTTTCATGCTTTTGTTGGTAAATCGACGGAAATCATACCGTCGTCTTCCTATGGAATGTAAACGCGATTCTTTTACAATTTGACCACTTGTTTTCTATATTTTTATTTCTGTGCCTCAGACTTATGAACAACTTGAAGCATGCTCCGGGCGTGTTTTGGTGTCAGCGAGAGTAATGTGCGAATTGTTACGGTAGAAATTATGTGAAAGCTTGAACAATATAGAAAAAATGTAATTTTGGTTTTTGTGGTCCAAGGCGCATTTGGAAGCATGCACGAATCCAACGTGAGCGAACTTTCGGTAGAGTAATGAAACGTAACTCACTCATGCTCGGATTTTCTGAACGACGAAGAAGAGTCGTTGTTGGACATCATTACTGTATACAGTAACCTTAACCCTGATGAGGCCGTTTGCGTCGATAGGGCTGTCCTGTCATGTTCAAGTTGTCAACATCACATGTTGATTAAGTTGTGATCCTTCGAAACGATCCCTTTGATGTTCACATGAAGGGCGGAAGCTCAGTTCCACCAGGGAGAATTGAGCAATTTGATGGCGCGATACGCAGTGTGTACTTACGGCGATTGTTCGAGAAATGTGGAGTGTGGGGTCGCTTTGCCATTATTATACTGTATTTTGGGAAAATATTAAAAGAATTATTCAGACTATTTCAAACATAATATTCGTAGGTTGGATTTTAATGAAGTGAAGTATTTTTTTTAATCGTTACTACAGTTTTTGTGTGTTGAAAACTAGGGAATAGGAGAATAATCAGCGTGAATCATGACGAAGTGAAACTTTCATGCACTTTTGTCAAGTACGGTAGTCTTCTATTCTGCCCATTGAGAGCCTCGAGAATGCGAACTCTAACGGTACGGTAGTCTGTTCACTCCAACTTTCCTTACCTTCTCATGATTCATTCCTCCATGGTAGGACGACAGAACTAGACATCTGTCTTCCGCAAAGCACATGCAAACTGTCAGCTCACAAAATATAAAACTAGATGTCGCTACATTCTCATTTTAGTCATTCCCTTCCTTTACCCTGTACCGTTCCATTCACGAAATCAAAGGCCCTGGTATGAAGAGATAATCCCTCACTTTGATAGCCTTAAGCATACGCATGATTCCTTTCGTCCTGACATAGGATTAGCGTTTCAAGGCATACTGTATTTTGATATAGGAAGTTCCATACCACACTCACGCTTGGAGGTAGTGTATTATACAAATAGTGTATCACATGCGACTTGTTGGAGTTACTTCAATACAGTACGTTCTGCACATGAATATCCAGGATATTCATGGAATGCACTTTTATTAATAACAAATGAACGCGAGCTCTTCATGAGGAATGTTCGAAAGGGATGCAAGAAAAATCAACCAAGTTTAATTTGCACAAAGAACTTATTTGGAAGTGGATCCGTCTAATGTCATAATGGAAAAAGGCTAATTGAAGCGTCTTCGATCAACTGTTCCTTGATACCTAATCGCATCTTGCTGCAATGGGAAGTAACCAACACTGCTATTTGACAAAAATGATGAGAAATTGCCTGATGATGTGTTTGGTTCAATTATTCGATGCATAAACGATTTTTAACTCCGCCACTTTTGTGATTGAGGAATTACTGACGAGAAATGATTTCACTTCGTGTTATCTTAACGTCTTTAGGGTCAACTCAAGTGCGTGACGTTTGAAATCTCTGACTTTTTTGCCGAAATCCATCATGTTTAGAAAATTTGTCGGCTTTTCATGCATTTTGATGCAGTTGTGAACAGCTAGTCGAAGATTTTCGTATTGGCGAGACATAAATAAATGGTTTCTATCGAGCAAGTCTTTCCCATGTTGTACTACATCAAATAATATACTCTCATACCCTGCGTCACTAAAAAACGATATGAACCTTTTCTTCATGTACTGTATTGTATTGTTGATACAGTATTTGACTTTTTCGAATTAAATTGAATATATCTTCGCACTAATGTGTCTCAATTCATCAAAATTATATAATTTAACAAGAAAAGTGCAATTCTTGGCAAGCAAATAGTGGGGTGCGCGGCTTATTTAAAAGATAGGGCTTTTGGCAAACTTGACACACAAACTGACGTGTGCATCTTACCACATTCACCCAGGTACCACCCGCACCTTTTTTTCAAAATTTTGAGGAAAAAAGGGGTCCGCGTAATATGAAGGGATATAATTTACAAAATGTAGGAAGCTTAGGAGTGTGTCCCGTTTGAATATACAGTAGTGAAACATTTTCGACGGAGAAGTCTTTAAATAAAAAATTTCAAATTATTGTTATATTGAGTTCAGATTGAATGATTGTCCGAATTGGATTGTCTGTTATTTTGTAAATACATATTGCACTTTTTAACCATAAAATATGAGGTCAACGTGTCTCTCTTGGGAATATAATTTCATCACCATTTTGGGTTGAAAATTTGCGTCTTTCACCTGGGTGTGTGATATACAGTACTTGAGTTAATGCGGTATTTGAGGGCACCTGGTACTTATTGATTAAATACGAGTATGGTTTTCTAAAGAAGAATCTCCTAACCTTTTTTCATAGACGCCGCCCTTTCTGAAATGAATTCATTTTACGGTGCCCTCTTTCAACAAAATTGTTGTGAGCCTACCATATGTATTTTACGATAAATGCGTTTTGCGGTAACCTCATTTTCAGCTTATTGAGCTAAGGAAGAATAATTCCTGATCTGTGTTTGCATCTCGAACATCTTCACGATCGATTCAATTTCAATTCAGTTTTTTTTTCTTGCGCGGATCACCCGAGGAGAGTAGGCCATGCCTTTCTGACTTCAGCAAAATATTTTTCAAAACTTTAATTGCATATTTCGGTACTCTCTCTGAGAATAGCCATGAAATAATGCGTGAAAGCAAGGGAAACCCAGAACTTTGGGGTTTTGTTCAGCAGGAATATCATCCTACCCCGGTCACGATCATGGAGATCGTTCGCGTTTTAAACGACGCACGCGACGATGAAAAAACTTTGAGAAAGCCGTAAATACGTTATGATATCCCAATCTGTGCCAGGCAAATGTACGTGGAGAAATTTTTATCTCCGCCGCCGAATCTAAGACTTCGGCTTCCCCGTTTTATCAGCAGCAATGATACGGAATGAGCGCTTGCTCAGTACACACGTTCAAATAACTCGGGCGCATCCTTCGTAAGCGAAAAAAAAAGAAAGATCTTGTCTTATCCGACGCCTCGGCTTCTGCACGCTTCCCAATGCCTGATTTCAAATTCCCTAATCTTGTGTTTGACGAAGACGACGACGAAGCCCCGTGTGCGACGGGAGCAGAACTCCGCGAGCATCGTCTCATCGGTGTTCCTCGTTCCGCGACCGTGACGAAAAGGCGAACTTCCGGTGTCCGAGTTTCCGCGACGATTTCAGGAAATCTGCTATGAGTGACGAACAGAGCAGCTGTTAACTGTCTCGGTTTTAATTTGCATCCCGGAGATCTGAGAAAAATCTCTCGGCCATGATGATCCCTCTCTCGGAGGATGAGTCCCCGACGAAAAGTGACCAGNTCTGTTCACTCCAACTTTCCTTACCTTCTCATGATTCATTCCTCCATGGTAGGACGACAGAACTAGACATCTGTCTTCCGCAAAGCACATGCAAACTGTCAGCTCACAAAATATAAAACTAGATGTCGCTACATTCTCATTTTAGTCATTCCCTTCCTTTACCCTGTACCGTTCCATTCACGAAATCAAAGGCCCTGGTATGAAGAGATAATCCCTCACTTTGATAGCCTTAAGCATACGCATGATTCCTTTCGTCCTGACATAGGATTAGCGTTTCAAGGCATACTGTATTTTGATATAGGAAGTTCCATACCACACTCACGCTTGGAGGTAGTGTATTATACAAATAGTGTATCACATGCGACTTGTTGGAGTTACTTCAATACAGTACGTTCTGCACATGAATATCCAGGATATTCATGGAATGCACTTTTATTAATAACAAATGAACGCGAGCTCTTCATGAGGAATGTTCGAAAGGGATGCAAGAAAAATCAACCAAGTTTAATTTGCACAAAGAACTTATTTGGAAGTGGATCCGTCTAATGTCATAATGGAAAAAGGCTAATTGAAGCGTCTTCGATCAACTGTTCCTTGATACCTAATCGCATCTTGCTGCAATGGGAAGTAACCAACACTGCTATTTGACAAAAATGATGAGAAATTGCCTGATGATGTGTTTGGTTCAATTATTCGATGCATAAACGATTTTTAACTCCGCCACTTTTGTGATTGAGGAATTACTGACGAGAAATGATTTCACTTCGTGTTATCTTAACGTCTTTAGGGTCAACTCAAGTGCGTAACGTTTGAAATCTCTGACTTTTTTGCCGAAATCCATCATGTTTAGAAAATTTGTCGGCTTTTCATGCATGTTGATGCAGTTGTGAACAGCTAGTCGAAGATTTTCGTATTGGCGAGACATAAATAAATGGTTTCTATCGAGCAAGTCTTTCCCATGTTGTACTACATCAAATAATATACTCTCATACCCAGCGTCACTAAAAAACGAGATGACCCTTTTCTTCATATACTGTACTGTATTATTGATACAGTTTTTGACTTTTTCGAATAAAATTGAATATATCTTCGCACTAATGTGTCTCAATTCATCAAAAATATATAATTTAACAAGAAAAGTGCAATTTTTGGCAAGCAATTACTGGGGTGCGCGGCTTATTTAAAAGATGTGGCTTTTGGCAAACTTGACACACAAACTGATGTGTGCATCTTACCTTATTCACCCAGGTACCACCCGCACCTTTTTCTCAAAATTGTGAGGAAAAAAGTGGTCCGCGTAGTATGAAGGGATATAATTTACAAAAAAAATGTAGGAAGCTTAGGAGTGCGTCCCGTTTGAATATACAGTAGTGAAACATTTTCGACAGAGAAGTCTTTAAATAAAAAATTTCAAATTATTGTTATATTGAGTTCAGATTGAATGATTGTCCGAATTGGATTGTCTGTTATTTTGTAAATACATATTGCACTTTTTAACCATAAAATATGAGGTCAACGTGTCTCTCTTGGGAATATAATTTCATCACCATTTTGGGTTGAAAATTTGCGTCTTTCACCTGGGTGTGTGATATACAGTACTTGAGTTAATGCGGTATTTGAGGGCACCTGGTACTTATTGATTAAATACGAGTATGGTTTTCTAAAGAAGAATCTCCTAACCTTTTTTCATAGACGCCGCCCTTTCTGAAATGAATTCATTTTACGGTGCCCTCTTTCAACAAAATTTTTGTGAGCCTACCATATGTATTTTATGATAAATGCGTTTTGCGGTAACCTCATTTTCAGCTTATTGAGCTAAGGAAAAATAATTCCTGATCTGTGTTTGCATCTCGAACATCTTCACGATCGATTCAATTTCAATTCAGTCTTTTTTTCTTGCGCGGATCACCCGAGGAGAGTAGGCCATGCCTTTCTGACTTCAGCAAAATATTTTTCAAAACTTTAATTGCATATTTCGGTACTCTCTCTGAGAATAGCCGGGAAATAATGCGTGAAAGCAAGGGAAACCCGGAACTTTGGGGTTTTGTTCAGCAGGAATATCATCCTACCCCGGTCACGATCATAGAGATCGTTCGCGTTTTAAACGACGCACGCGACGATGTAAAAACTTTGAGAAAGCCGTAAATACGTTATGATATCCCAATCTGTGCCAGGCAAATGTACGTGGAGAAATTTTTATCTCCGCCGCCGAATCTAAGACTTCGGCTTCCCCGTTTTATCAGCAGCAATGATACGGAATGAGCGCTTGCTCAGTACACACGTTCAAATAACTCGGGCGCATCCTTCGTAAGCGAAAAAAAAAGAAAGATCTTGTCTTATCCGACGCCTCGGCTTCTGCACGCTTCCCAATGCCTGATTTCAAATTCCCTAATCTTGTGTTTGACGAAGACGACGACGAAGCCCCGTGTGCGACGGGAGCAGAACTCCGCGAGCATCGTCTCATCGGTGTTCCTCGTTCCGCGACCGTGACGAAAAGGCGAACTTCCGGTGTCCGAGTTTCCGCGACGATTTCAGGAAATCTGCTATGAGTGACGAACAGAGCAGCTGTTAACTGTCTCGGTTTTAATTTGCATCCCGGAGATCTGAGAAAAATCTCTCGGCCATGATGATCCCTCTCTCGGAGGATGAGTCCCCGACGAAAAGTGACCAGAGTAAAGAGGTCCCGGGGACAGGGTAGAAAAGGGACTCGCGACCAGAAGTCCCCAAAACAACGGGTGCTTTGGGACCAAAAGGTGAGGAAGTGGTGGTCAGTTGGAGCACAGATGTATCCACACATGAACTGCACGAGCCCAACATTGTTAGAAGTGCAGGCGAACTTTTTCAAATCGAAATTCAAGAATCCTGCGGAAAAATTCCAATTTAGGAGGCTTTGAGTTAGGGAAACCAGCATTTTTTTTCTGAGGGGGAAGAAATATAGGAAATTCTGATTGGTGATATTGTGGGCCTTGAATTGGTTTTTGAATGAATTAAAAGGATCCAGTACTTGGAGGCAAGGGTTCTCTGCCTTTCACTTCCTTTCAAAATGCATATGACATTTTTATTGCTTTTCTCTTTCCTGGATCAAAAAAATAATAATCGAATGACCTCAGATATTTGAGTTATGGAGGTTTGAGAGGAAAAGCCTTTGAGTTCATAAGGCTTTTAATGCATTTGTTCTAAGGGAATTCAGAGGGGAACTTAAAAATAAATTGACATAGGGAGGTATTTGACAAAGGGAGGTTTGAGTCATCAAGGTTCACCTTGACTGTATGTATTCCTTAGAAATATTGGTTATAATGTCGTGTTCCTGCTACTGGGCTGTTTTTAAAAACGCTGGAATGACATAGTAATCTTTATAAGAATAAACACTCATTGTCTGCAATGGTTCTTTTGCCTACTGTAAATAACACATGAAACAAAATTGACCATCACTCTTTCACCCATCGATCCCGTTGACCCGCCAACCACCGGAGGACTTTTTCTCGGGGGTCCTTTTATTACCTTGTCTCCAGCTGGGTCCCTTTTCGTTGGGGACCTATTCTTATGGATGATCCTGATGGGTTTGAAACCACTCAACACGTTTTAAATTGTTCTATCGGTTTCCGTTTTCGAAGGAAAGATGTTATGTTATGTACAGCATGATGTGAACGTTCCGGGGACCCCTTTTTCCGGCACTGCAGTTTATTTCCGCTCAATTTATGCCTTCTTAGTTTCGCTCCGAAATCAAATTGAATTAAGCTTCGAAACTTGAGTAATGATATCGTAGGAAAAGCATATAGATCTTTAAAAAATAGAAGAATTCTTTTGTATGCTTTGAATACTTTTTCTTCATTCACACTCTACATCCCTGCGGCATTGACTCAGAGAACCGTGAACACGAAGTCATTCTGACTTCGAAGCGGAGAAAATTTCGCAAGATTCAACTGCGATATTGTATTTTTATTATTCAAACCATCATGATCCTCGAATTTTCGTGAAAATCGCGGGCTTTAACTGCCAGAATACAGTACAGTATATCCTTCAGTTCAATCCTGAAATGTTCATCATATGAAGATGAAGATCGCTGGAAGATGGCCAGAGCAAGTTTCAGCAATAACGTTGTGACTGTTTTCATGAAACTTTGACTATGCGGGAAGAAACCAAGTGTCTTGAAGCAGATGACATCCGAGTTAATTCATCGGAAAAAGGCGTTTACTGAACGGCTGCAGGAGTGTCAGTTGGCAGACTAGCTAAGAGACGAATCTAGATTATCTAGAATGTAGATGGATCATCGACAGATCCGAGGAGTGGACAGCCGTAACAGTTCAAACACGACCGATCGACTCCGCGACGGTTGAAAAAAAAAAAAAAAACACGGGGGACGAGACAACCGAACATCCAGCGCGAGAGATAAGCCAAGGAAGGAAAATAAATCTGGGGAAGGAAATCCGAAGACACCCGAAAGCCTTGTGAAAATACGAAATAAAAAAAATAAATAAAAAGCGATGATCCATCGACAGAAACGCTCGTATTTGGATTGAAGAAATCCCGAGTTTTTTCTTTCCCCCCGTGCATGTGCGCGCAGCAGTTCAATTGTTGCGCCTGTCGAACTCGCGCGTGTCGTCGGTGAGGAATGAATTTGTCGCTGGTCCACGACGCCATCGACGCGTCGGTCTTCGAGAACCGGTTCTGTTCGGACACTGTCCGGAACCCGTACGCTTACGAGCCCCACGTGTCCTACTATCCTCAGACCGTAGCTGCCCACAGCTACTACGAAGACCACTATGTCCGGTGAGTGCATTTGGAACCCAGATCCCATGAGAAGAAAAGATCCCCGACTTTCCAGTGCGTCGTTCGGAATGCCTCGTACTTATTGTATTTACTCAAGTACCAGGTGCCCTCAAGTAAGGAAAATAATAGCATGCACCAAGGCTTTTTTCAGTTGAAAATTTTGATGAAATCCTATCCCCAAGAAACACAAGCACCCCATATTTAGTACAGGTGAACCTTGATAATGCAAACCTCCCTTACTTGAATACTGTACCTCCCTAAGATGATTGTTGTCAAGTGCCCATCTGAATTCCTTTAGAAACCATGGATTTAAAACTTCTCCACCTTGAAGACTTTTCCTTTAAAGTCTCCATTTCTCAAATTTGCTGCTGTCTTTTGGCTATTATTTTCTTGACCCAGGAAAGAGAAAAGCCCAAAGAAATTTCACTCAATGTGATTTGAAATAAAGTGAAGGAATAATTGGGAAAATTAACCCCTTTCTCCAAGTTCAGCATTCCTTTAACTCATTTGAGAAGCAATTTAAAGCTCAGAATATCACAATTTACCAATTCTTGCAAATATTAAAATTTTTCACAAAACAAATGCTTGTTTCCCCAACTAAAAAGCTCCTTTACTCACATTTTCTTGCTGATTCTTTGAAATTTGACTTAGAGAAGTTCAACTGTATCTATAAAAGTTTAATATTTCCAAAAAAGAACAATCAAATTTGAATCAAAACATGAATTTGACAAATGTTCAATTGTTCCCATAAAAATACGATTCTCTGTTAAACTTAGTCCAAAATTTCCCATTAGAATCAAGTGTCTAAATTTTAAAAGCTTTTTGACAAATGTACCTATATGCCACGCACCCTCTTGTTTCCTCACAAATTTGAGAAAAAATATTTGCATGGTATTTGAGTGAATACAGGTATGCTGCATGTTATGGTCACCTGCCGCTTTGCCCTGAAACCCTGTCCATGGTGTCATAGAAGAACTTGATCAAGTTTTTCATTCAGGTGTTACTCCGAACACCTCTTCTGATCTGAATGCGCGTTTGGTCTACTGAGCAGACGTGAGCAATGGAACCGTTCGGATTTTTTTTTCACGATGTAGTTACTTCCGAGTCACAGGGTTTTGCATGGAGTCCATCTTTGGGTTCATTTGGATTTCTGACTTTTGGGAGATGAGTTTGACGAAACGCAAGCGCGGGTCTGGCTGGAAGTCTTAGAATATCCCTCACGTATCCCATTCAAAAAGATCATCGGAGTGTAAGGAATGTTTACAGCAATGCTGCACGACATATGACCCGTTGGCCAGATCTGACCTGCAGAGGCTCTTCACCAGTCCGGCATGCCCTTTTCTATAATTTTCAAGGCGGCAGCCACCAATATTCAAAATATATATTGAAATATGAGTCTTAAAATTCAGAATGCTTCTTCCCCCTTCAAAAATGGTACACAACTACGTTTTGTTATTCAATGCGTAGCACTGAATTAAGTTTGAAACTTATCATTGAAAAGGGGGAAAAGTGGAGCCTAAAAAATATTTTCTACTATGGATTGCAAAGACTCAGAACTCTGCAATGTGGCCATTTTGGCCACATCTGAGTTGGGCAGCAATGGCTAACAGGCTATTATCCACATTGTAAGAAATACAGAACTATCAACAAATGGAAAGAATTGTGACATCCATATCTTCATGGCGTCAAATGGGCATCTTGCTGCTATAGAGGTTTTGTCAACTTCTGTATGGAATTGAAATACTGTACTGTAATGTACGTGCGAAGTTTAACGGAGTTCCCTTGAAGGATATATTTGGTGTTCAGGAATATTGCTCCATGAGGAAATCCCGTGGCTTAAAAAATCTGGTTATCTTAGGTACAACCAGATCTCAGGTCAATTCTTGCAAGTAAAAATATCTGGAAACTTGAAGGTATGCATGAGAAAAAGCAGCTTTTGGTCACTAAAGTAGGCAATGGTGTGTAGGCTAAGTTTGAATCACTGAACTTAGAGATAATAGGATAATAAGTCCTATTATCTCAGTTTTTGTTGACTGAAGATCAAAATGTTTCCATTGGGCAATTCAAATCATAGTACTGTACACGCTGCACAAGTAGCTCCTCTATTGAACGTATTCACTGCAACGAATTTTTTGGTTCAATATGCAGGAATGCAGTGCGTTCAGGTGGACACCGTAAAAACTATCTTGACTACAACAAATTTATCTATAAAACAAATGTTTGAGTGGTCTGTAACACGAAGAGATAAGTCTCTCTCTTCGGGTTACAGAGGTTCTCTACATCGATTTTTTTTTCTTGTCACTTGCATTTCGTTGTGGAGAGAGCCTACATGGAATATTTGGTTTTTCTAGAAGGGGTGGAGTATGATAGAATTTCGGTCGAGCGCTACTTCAATCCCAGTTTGTTATAATAGTTCATAGAGGTCGCCGCAAGGCTAGGAACTCCGAGCGTTTATGTAAAGTACTGTATGTGAGTACAGTATACAGTTCAGGCAATCGGGCTTTTCACCCCAGGCATAACCTGTTTTCCGGGCTTTCACTTCTCTTGAGTTCCCAGTATTTCTTTAATCGAGTTTGAGTACAAAACCGAATTACATAGTAATGCCTCAATACCTGATCGCCGTGGGGTAATTGCCGTATCTGTCATCTTTCTGCGTATAATGCAGCGGGTGTAATAGCTGGGAATCAAGATATTTGTGGAATAGACAGATAAGATTTAATTTAGGGTTTGGAGGAAATGCCAGCTACGAGAAAACGCCTGGAAGCTAGGAAAAAGGATGATCGGGAAAGGGAGAGAAAATGTCGACCAGAAAAAAACACCTCACCTGGAAAGAAATGCCGAGGATACGAATTAGAAAACTGCCAAGGAATTCGCTCTCGAGCGAATCTTAAATTCGTATTTGTTATTAAAATTCATTTTTGTCATTGCAAGTCATATTTATCATTACAATTCATATTTGTTATTAAAATACACATTTGTTATTACAATGCATATTTGTTATTAAATTCATATTTACAGTATTATTAGAATTCATATTTACAGTATTAGTAGAATTTATATTTCGTTTTGTATACAAAAACGAATTCAATTATACCAAGCGTTCAAGTATGATAGCATTACTGTAATTGAAATGAATTATTGTCGGCGTAATGTGAAGGCATGATCTGCTCTGTGATTATTTCTCGGTCTGGTAAAGATACGGAACGACGACAGGTGTTTTTTGTTTTGTTTTTACAATTGAAACTGCTATACAGTATTTTATTGCTGAAAACTTCAGCATTGCTTTACATTCGAGAATAGCGAGCTGAACATGTAAATATTAAGATATAGAAACAGTTTATGTATGTAATGAAAATTTTGTAAAATACTGTATGATCCACTTCTCAGCCTTGAAGAATGCACGAGCTCAAATCCAGGTTAGCATGCATCTCTACCCTTGAACAGGGCCGAGGGGTTTATTTTCACTCCAATAATACGGGCACACCTTTTTTTCCCACGAGGCAGGGGAGAGGAAAAAAACGGTCCTAAGTGAGATTTTCTGAGATGACGATTTGAAACCGTGCTTTTCCGGGGGAACACGCTTCCGTTCCGAAAAAATGTCCCTCAATGTCCGTAATGTATGATGTATCAAAAGCCGCCGCAGGGCATTTACGCGGCTTCGTTGGAGTTCCGTGCGACAATAATCCCTGCAACGCGCTGCCGACGCACACCAGGTCCTTTGTGTCGACCCCCGGGGGATCCGCCCTTTCACTCAAAATTATTGTATCGCGACAGGCCGTGACATTATCCGAGGGCTTGCCGAAATATTTTTCCAATGCCACCGTGAGTGACGCTGGAGCTCTTGTCCGGATGCTTGTTCCCGCGATTCGGAATTCCGCAGCGGATGCAGCAGTTTTTCAGGGACCCGATTTCCTCGTGCTGTTGTTCATTGCTTAATTTCCCCGGCCTCCGAAAAAAAGCAGCAACAACGCTGTGCTGGAGCGACCTTCACCAGTTACTAACATAACACCACTGGAGTTGTTAATATTCCTAAACAAATAAGCAAAAAGCACGAGTAAAAAAAAATCCTGGCGAGTATGAAACATACTTGGGCTTGCCGCAGTATTTTTTTTTACCGGAGTATGCCACAACAGTTCCCCAAAACCTCTCCGGTACTACAGGTTGTAGCAAAAATTCCATCAATTTTTGAATGACGGTATATACTCGAGTTTAAGTCGTTCCCCAACAAAACCATTCCTGGATGCAAAATGTTTGTTGCGCCAAGAATGATTTCCCTTGAGTTGAAATGAAAAAAAAAACCAAATCCGTACCAGGCACTCTTCAAGGGGTTTCCAAACCTGCGAATTTTGCAAATCCCTAAATTGCAAATCTGCATGAGATTTACGTTCACTAATCGTGACACAATTGTGCTCTTAGTTGCCTGAAATTCTCAAATGTCAAGGACAAGAAGCGGGGAAGTTTCTAGCTCTTATATAATTTTCCGCGGTCGTTTCGAAAATTCCAGAAATAGTTCAAAACGAGGTAAAATTTCAGATTTTTTGTTCCAAAAATGTTTACCATTCGAAACACGTTCGTTGCGGGAGTCACTGACTAACCCCCCTCCCAATTTTTGTGATGCAAATTTTCAGAAGTGTTTGCTTTTCTTCAATCGAGGATCTTTAATCGAGGTTCATCAAATTCAACACCAAATTGCAAATTAAAGCTCACTTTCATTTTGGTTGTAGCACAACCATGTCTCCGTGAGGAAATCCCATAGGAATAAATGCAGTATGTGAAAAAAGTCTGAAAATTGACAGAATTCCAAAAACAAATTACGGCGCAAAGAACGGATGAAATACGGTACCTGTACTTGCATTCGTTTCGAACTTTGGGGTACATTCTGATTTCAAAAGTTTTTCAATCTCTTCAATCCATTTCATGTTGGGCCAAGAATTCCCGAAGTAATCTGTAATGCGAAACCTGAAAGAGGTATCCGATATGCAGCATTCCCCAGCATTTTTGTCCCGCAGACCACCAAATTTCCTTAATTTTTTTGCGGACTGGCAAATTCTCAAAACATTTTTTGCGGACTGCCGAAGTATCATTAAATTCTTGCAAACTCAAAAAACATTTTCTTGAAAGACTCTATGGCAAGTATTTAAGTTTCTGATTTTTGCAAAAAGTAAGTTGAGCACCAATGAAGCCGCCATAGCTGAATGTCATCAGAAAATTAGAACGGTGGGCTTGAAGAAAGGGTTTTTGGAATGAAAAATTAAAATGATTTATTTCAGCAGGTGAGAATTGTTCTGGAGTGTTATTAGAAGAAAACTTGTATTTTTCATCAAATAATTTCAACTTCCCTTGCCTTCCCAAATATTTAGATAAAGAGCCTTTGTTGCTACTTTCGAAAGATATATTATGCTAAAAACAATTTCCACGGGTTGCGAAACACTCCCATAGAGGGTATCTTTTTCGAGATTAAATCGGACAACAGATAGTCGATCTTATATTCGCGCAAAGACTGATGCATTCCCCCACGGGGTGGTTGTTCCCGTAAGTGATGGTGGGTTAGAACGGGGTGATCAGTACGGAACCAGCAGCCACGTCAGGAATCATCGGTTGAGCCAAGACCAAAGGTGGCTGCACATCGGCGATGGACGCATTGATGACTCGGTAAGTCGCAGTAAAAGGTCGGGAGTGGCAGTGAGCAAGTCGGGGATTAGGCACTCGAAGGCCGGGGGGAAATCTCGGAATGGAATCGCGAACGAGGCGTCCGAAAAAACACGCAATAAAAGGGATTGACAGCTCGCGGAGTCCAGAGTTCGAAACGCTGTCGAGGACCATAATGCCGTGAATTGCGATCTCCGTTTCACGCCGGAGAACACGGAGAAGATCCGTTTCTTTTCTCTCCGCCGCCCGGCTGAAGGCGCGAGCACTCGGAATTCCTCGCCCACTCAAAGGCTCGGGTTCCGAGAGAGGCCCGGTTCTGAACATAGGTGTTATCCCCTGTCGAACATGTCCCAGAGGAAATTACGAGCGGGCAGAAAGCCCAATCTTATTTTCGACTTGACGGCCGGTGAATTGCCGCGTTCGCAGCCCTCCACTTGTCCGAAGGTGAGATAATCCCGCGGGGAAATTCATGCGCGCATATCGCGTTCACTCGGCATTCACGAGCCCCGGGAAAAACACGCGTGCGAAACGAAAGCCCTCACGTTTCCTCGGCTTTGCTG